AAGTTAGAAAAAAAATATTTGTTCAGGTAACCAAGCATGATATCCAAGACTTACATACTGCAAGCATAAAAATGTTCTTCACAGCACCGAAGCTTTCAGTCTTTCCAGCAATATTAGGGGTGCTTGTAAAAATGACTTAAAAAACTGCATTACCATGATTTGTGGCAGATAGGGAAATTTGATTTTGAACAAGAAGTTAAGGTAAGTACTTCAGAGGAAGGTGCCGGAATTTCAGAAATTCAGACRTTAATGCTAAAAAAAAAGAGTTGTATTCCCCTTACCACACTACTTTTCAGAAATATTGCACCATATACTTAGAAACGTTACCTTTCAGACACAGGTTGCCAAAAAGACATTTGGCTGAAAGTATAAAATGCTTCAAACAATATACATAAACTTTTAAAAAGTTACTGAAACTAAAAATACTTGTTTTACCTTTCTTTCCCATATCTGAATCCTTCCCCTCCAGAGTTCTTTTAAATCAATAATATTCCTGAGATYATCTGAAGATACAAAGTCTGCCGACAGATAATCAGCAATTTTTTGCCACCTATTATAAGAATAAAAAAAATTAATTTGAGTTTAATAATACAAACTAGCATGCAGTGCACTTTGATTGAAAACACTTATTATTTTTTGGCACTTAATAGTCTTGTGCACATTTACACAAACATATGTATCTTCACATTTCACCAAGTGCAAAATGTAATAGAACTGCTGATTTCATACGGGATGTAACAGTATTTATCTTTGGAGAAGCAGCAAAGTCAGGTGCTTTTTTTAAACATRTAATTAATGGAAATAAAAATAAAACAGAGAGTTAGACATGAGTTTTATAGAAACTAGGAAACTAAAACTAGTATGAATTAGCATGTAATATAATACACCACATCTTCAATACATACTATGCACACTGAAGCCACTTGTGAAATTGTAGTAATAGAAAGTAAGCATAAAAATATTTTACTATTTGCTCTCACAGAGATAGATTATTTCAGAGGGCTTACTTTTGCCTGCCCCTTTTTTAAAGGTCACGTACTTCTGATAAACATTCCTCCACTCAAATAATGAGGGTAAATCTACATATTTGCAAAAATACTCGTAAMGTATTAAAGACATCAAAGTGTCTTATTTCAAAACACTAATATAAAACATGAGTTTGTTACAGCTAAGTGAAGAGCATACCCTGTAGAGTTATTTGCTGCAATGGTGATAYGTGCAGAGTGCCACTCTCTCAGGTGTTTCAGGGCACCAATGGCAGGCAGGCAGTCTTTTAACTTGGGTACATCTCGTTCAAGTGCATGCAGGATTACATCAACCATCGCTCTGCCTGTGAAAACCCAGACTCAAATTACTATTCTTCAGTATTTTAACAGTGGTTTAAATCTTTCCTGAATTACTTAATGAATGTTAGCTTAACTCTAGTTACTCTTAGATTAACATCTCTCAGCTGCATAAGGCTCTTTTTTTCCATGCCCAACTTTTGGATATTCCATCTCAACATTACGTATTCCGTAACATACAAGGTGATATGAACCTCTAATTCACTGAAACTGAATCCAACAGATCTGTGCTCATCCAGAGCTTTGTGCTGGGAAGTTGCATGCTGAGTTTTGTATTGCTTGCCATCTTTTACTGCTTTGGTGCCATTTGAGATCAAGAAACACAATTATCCAGTTAACTGTGTTAATATTTTGGGAAATGCAACTTAGAAACCACGAACAGCCAACTTCGTAAGCAGAAGCCAAACTTATCATACCCACATTCCTTAACAGACCACTTAGACCACTTTTAAGAGCTGCATACAAGTAGATTCAAAGCCAAACCGATGCCTTCTGATTTTTTTCTTTGCTTTTGATTATGATTTTACCAACTGAGTTGTCTGAGTAATAACTAACAAAGACATAAACTCGAGAAGAGACTTGTTCTTTATTTTCAAAGAGCTTACCTGGAGCAGGCAGTTTATCAGCTAACTGATGCAGACTTTCTGCAGCTTCATCATAGATACTGAAAACGAAGGGCAAAACATATAAAGCAATAAAGTAATATAATAAATATAAATTCAGAAATAAAAAGTTATAAGCAATAAACACTACTTTACTAAAACAATATTTTAAATCTTTAAAATTCTGCACAAGCATAACACCTAGGCAATGAGATACGCTTCCATTTTAGAGGCAGACCTAAGCTAAATGACCTTAGAATCAATTGCTACAAAGCTGGAAGCAGAAGTCAAGACAGCCTGCTGCTTCTTAGCAGGAAGCTTCTTTTTTGTGTGTATACAAAACTCAGCAGTTAGGAAGGTATTCTACAAAAATCATATWCGGCCAAGAAAATCAAAGTAACGTAAAACAAAACATAATTATTTTTAGTAGTAGAAAAGGACTCTTTATGGTTAACTGTTGCTTTGATAATAACTTCTGTTGAATTTTCTTGATTTCCTTGGGTTTTTATTGTTAAGTGTCAGGTCACTATGCGTTCACTGAAAATAATACTGTGCATACTCAGTCATAGACAGTGACTCTCTGCTGTTGTTGTCGTCTTCCTCCTCAAAATTCTGTATAGCTCCAAGACAGTCATCAGTGCTTGTTTGGAGTGAATCTTCRTTCTTCTGTGTGTCAAAATTTATTTCCTCCCAGTCAGGACTGCAGAACTAATTCAAGTAAAAAGAGTTTTGAATATCACAGTATTAACTCACATTAGAGACAGATAGAGAGCTGAGGAATTTATATTTTTTTTAAAAGAAATCTTACTTACTTGATAATAACCACAAATAACGTGACTTGCAAAATACCATTTCTTCCCACCTGGAATACCAGCCACTGAACATGCTAACAAAAAAAAGAGCAAACAATAATTTGAAACAAAAAATGCACTGCCATCTATTCTTCCTATTATAACTACTGTCTCTGTTGAAATAAATCATTATAGTGGTGATCTTATTGCACTGTGCTRAAAAAAATGAGGCAACTGTCAAATTGTGTTTTTCCAGAAGAAAAGATAGTATTTTTGCTTATTAATTAAATTCATATGGAGGAATGACCACAGATTGTATTGTCATAGCTTATTTCTAATAATCTCAGCCAGTTTTTAAGCACCTAGCTATGCTACTATTATTATGTTACTATTATTATGCATACTATTGCCTACATTGGTTAAAGAAAGTGAACAGAAGAAACAAATAGGCAGGTTTCCCACATAAGACCATTGCTATTCCCATTCATATCAGGTCAAATGAATGTTTGGGAAACAGAGGAGGAAAACAAGTACAAAAAAAAGATTGACACAAAACTCATCTAGGAGTAAAAATCCCAGAATTCTGCTAAACTTTCGCAGAATTCCTGATATGAATGAATTGAGCTTAAAATATCAATGCTGGAATACCACACCTTCATTTTAAGCATTTTTCAAACTTTTARATGAGTCACAATGAATACTTTCTTTTGACACCATAATTAACGTCTAAATATATTAAGGTCTTGCTAAGGGCCTRACTGTTAGTGAACCTCTCTGACAATTAATAGGTAATAAAGCTCATTTTTACTCCATTTGAGCAACAATGCTTTTCACTTACAGAAGCTGCAGCATATCTGAACCACAGCTTTCAGAACTACAAAATAAAAGCACAGTATTTGAAAAGAGAATATTCTTGTCTTGGTTCCCTCACAGGGATTGCAATTAGATGACAGCTGTGACAGCAAGGTGAGCATTTGCATCTCAACACCAGACATCCAAACCAAGGAGGAACTAAGGCATTAATTTTCAGACTAAGAAAGTATTAAAATAAAATAAAATAAAATACCCAGAAAACTAAAAGGCACCAAAGACCATCTTTAGAAATCTCTTTAAGAAGAATACTTAGACTGCAATGAAATCACAAAAGGGAATTTAATCTTGGGTAAAAAAATATCAACTCTCCACCCACATGAGCAGCAAGCCCTTTCCCACTCCTTCCTGGTGTTAAAGAATATTGAAAGCCAATCTCTCAACAGCTTTATTTTCATTTCTGGTGTCCAATACACTCAACCATCCCGTAACCACTTGTTCCCTGAAGCAAAGTCAGTTCTCCATAAAAACACCACCAATATCAGCAGCCCTGCATGCAGGTTTAGGTRTAATCCAGAAAATGCTGTTTTCCTCAAGTTTTTGACTGGTTTCGTGCAGATATGAAAAATTTTGAGGACAGGAGCTCAGTCACAGTTGCCTTATGCTGCTGTACGTGGCTGTGCTTACCTGGAAACGTACTGGCATCTGCATTTATAGACGATCCACAGTTTTCTTTGAGGAGATCATAAATGTTTGCAGCAGCCACACCTGAAACAATAAAAAAATGCCAAAAACTTGAGTTTCTTCAACCCACTCACAAAAGCACCATCTCTCTCTCTCTTTGCGAGCATCACGGGCCCAGGTCCCCAGCAGGGAGGCAGCTGTGACCCTTGAGGGAAATTTGGGCAGAAAGTGGCTAAACTCGCAGGCGGCTCCGGGACCTTGYGCGCTGTTAACACCACAGTGTGCATCGAAACACAGAAACACCCCGTTTCTGGGCGACTGGCATTAGAGGCCCTGCGTTTGGGAAATAGCCCCTTTCTGAGCATCTGCGTCACTAAAGGCTCTTACTCTGACAGAAAAAAAAAAATGTTCTGAATAAGATAAAAATGAAGAAAAAAATAATAAAAACGCTAAAGGGGAGCCAGCATGATTTCTCTCAGCGAAGTTTTCTACACCAGTGACCTTAAGAAATAAAACTAAACWAAAGAGCAGCAGAGCCCGGGGTGCTTCGGGGACGGGGTGCTCCCGCCCAGGCCCGGCGCCCGGCTCCGCGCGGCTCCGCGGGGCTCTCCCCGCGCCCGGGCCGCCCCACCGGCGCCGCGCCGCACCCGACGGCGGCCGCGGCGCTACCTTCGGGCCGGCGCTGCCCCCAGCGCAGCAGCAGCACGTAGCGCTCCATGGCGCCGCCGGCGCCGCCCTTCCGCTTCCCGCCCGCCGCCCCGGCCCGTCCCCGCCGCGGCCGCCATGTCCAGCTTCAGCAAGGCGGCGCAGGTGAGCGCGCCGAGGCCGCGGGGACACCGCGTCCCGTCCCGTCCCGCCCCGCTAACGCCTCTCCTTCCCGCAGCAATGGGCCACCTTCGCCAGGGCCTGGTACCTGCTGGACGCCAGGATGCAGCCSCCGGGGAAGGTGGCGGCCGTGACGGCGCGGAGGCTGGAGGGCCGCCATAAACCCATCTACCACGCGCTGAGTGAGTCCCGSGGCGGCACAGGCCGGGATTAGCGCCAAGGGCGCCCGGCCCGCGCCTGGGGAGGGAGGGAAGGAGGGAAAGAAGGAAGAAAGCGAGGGAGAGAGGGCTGGCAGCGCGGGCTGCTCCTCTAGGGTGGCTTCTGCCCTGCAAGAGCACCCAATATAGGCGAGTTTGGGGGTCATGTGTGCAGCAGGTTATTTCAGATTAACCAGAGGTGTTTTAGTGGCTGTGAGAGAACAGTCCCTTAAATGGAACAGCATAGGTTTTTTATTTTATTTTATTTTATTTTATTTTATTTTATTTTATTTTATTTTATTTTTTTAGCTAGGTACATGGACATCCTTATTCTGCAAAACCATTATTTCCCTTACTGTTCTGAAGAGTGTAGTGGTCCAAATTTAAGCTATGGGTAGGGAAGGAAATAAATTCGATTTCATGTGCATTTGCCTTCTGTTCTAAAGGTTGTCTTCCATCATTCTCTTGAAGTATCAACAGCTTTAGATGCTCTTGAACCGTATGCCTTAAGTACGGGCATACAAGCTGTCCCTGGCAGTGTTTGGGCCTGGATTTCCAATGTCATCTTCATGTCTCCTTTTCTCCACCTTTCCTGTCTTTTTGAGCAGCTTGACAGCATCAAAAATAGTTTTTGACTGAGCCAGATTTCCCAAAATATGGACACCCTGGCTTTTTATATTGGATTGTCAGTAAGTGCAGGTGAAACTGTTAATGTTGGGCAGCGTTTGCGGCTCGAGTGGATGATCTCTGCATCCTTGGGAAGTGGAAGTGCTGGATTGGGAAGGGTCCTGCAGGCCACATCTGGCACAGGTGTTGCTCTGGTTTGCGATGTTGTGCACCAGATGAAAGATTAAGTCTTGTCTTAAAATTAAAAGTTTGGCTTCTAGGTTGTCACTCTCATGAGCTAACATTTGACAGTATGATGCCCATCTTCTGTCAGATTTCAGTCCTAGATTAAAATGTGTGTACCTGAATCATGTGTTTTTTTTTTTTTACTGTGAGATAAGAATTACAGAAAATGTCTTCATTTTGAAAGTTATTTTTCTTGATATCGTATGGAGTTACTGTGGTGGCTTACACTTTTTTTTTTTTTTTTTTTACTGTGAGATAAGAATTACAGAAAATGTCTTCATTTTGAAAGTTATTTTTCTTGATATCGTATGGAGTTACTGTGGTGGCTTACACAGTGTTTCACCTGAGGAGGTGCAAAACATATGTATAGCAGATGGTATATAGGATAAGATGTACTGACATATTATTGTGTATTTATTGAGAAAGTATACTTTTTAAAAGAGTAATTTGGTATTATGTTATGAAAATAGTCTAAAAGTTTTGTTGCATGATTTTTTGAATGTTTTTCAAAAATAAGATGCACTTTGACCTGTGTTTTTTGCATACCTTTTTTTTCTTTTTTTTTTTTTACTTTCTCCTTGTGTCTCCATTCCTAAAGGGAGCAACACTGTTCAATGAAACAAGTGGACCATAATGCATTAACTTGAAATTTCAAAAGAGGCCTTAGTTACACAGAAACTTGCACACACTATTCATGTAGAGTGTATATATGCCTGTTAATTTTTATATTGGCTCTTTATTAAGAGATTAAATTTATTAATCTCTCAATTTAATTCTACTTATTTATTTCAATTTATTATTTACATGCACAAAGTCTAATCAAATCTCAGCTTCCTATCAAATTCACTTATACATGAAACAACAAACTACTTTTAGAAGTGATCTGCCAATGACTAATTGCTCATCATGGAAATCAAATTGAAGCTGTGCTCCTGTGCTTGGGCTGCAAAGGAGCTGTGAAAGAGTGAGAAACTTAATGTGAACCTTGCACTGGTGAATTACAGGCTTTTATAAGAAGTGTAAGAAGTGTTTTAAGGGAGTTTTAGTGTACCTGGTTTGTTTGTCAGTTATTCAAAAATGCTTTCATAAATAAAGTCTCTTCAAAGACTTAAATAGTTTTTAATATGGTATAGCATGTGGGAATGAACTTTGGACAAATTACTTATTTGACTGAATGAGTGATACAAAGGATCAAAGTAATTACTTGTAAAATGGAGAGCTACATCCCTTACTGAAAGATATTTTTCAGATGGTGAAGTTTGTATTAGTTTTTTTGTTACTGGCAATACATACATACTTTTAGAATGTAGATGCTCCCTATTGATATGGAAATCATTGATATAACAGGAAGGATGTTAAGTGTGTATCTGTTGCCACATTTGCTCTTGCTTGACTTTGGTAAGTACCAATGTTTTTGACTGACAGTTATCTTTTATTTGGAATATATTTGCTTTCTATTTATAGTTAGATCTAAGATGTGTTTATGTAGTAGAATTATTTTACCTTCTCAAAATATTCAATCTTCTGGTAAACATTGTTACTGTTTCACAGGACAGCCAAAATTAAACAACATTAAATGTGCATAGAATTGACCTTTACTTCTTTGTACAGAATTTTTGAAATATTAAGTGCATATGCAACATAGTATGTTGAATAAAATAATACACTTGCCTGTAAGATAGACTTTTATAGATAATTGCAATGGTTTAATTATTTAGTCTGAAGCACGTTTTTTACCTGCTTCACCTTTCTTCAGACTTGGGAATCGTATGAAAAATAGTAAAATAGTTGGCATTTAAATATAACTTGTGATGGAGTGACAAGGAAGGCCCAGTCTTTCCAGTTGGGCTTTATGAAATGTGTATATTTGTGCTATTATTTATGTTATTTTCATTTTGCAACTGTTACTTTTGTTGGTCACTCCTGTGGTCCTCTTAATATTCTCCACCAATTTCTATCTTGTAGGTGACTGCGGAGATCATGTTGTCATAATAAACACGAGACATATTGCCTTTTCTGGTAACAAATGGGAGCAGAAAGTGTACTCCTCACATTCTGGGTAAGTGTAAAAGCTCTTCTTAAGGAATATTCCAATGAGTTAACTCTAAAATTCATCTTCTTTCTGAATAGCTACTATATTTTGTAGTATGTTCCAAAAATCCGAAAGGAGGAGCTCTTTATATCTTTTGTGCCTGTGTGCATCAAGATGTTCAGAAAGAACACAAACCTTTCTTAGCAGTGTATTTTGTTCAGGGAATAATCAGGTTTACAAGAAGTGAGAGTAATGGAGTGATTTAACAAATTTAGTGAGCCAGGTTATTTTGTGTGGAGATGAGCCCAAAGATCAGGACTATCTTATTTACCAAGCAATAAAGAACATTCCTCTCATCACTCTACATTTAAGATATATACAGATACCAACTTGATTTTGATASCATACCTAACATTGAGAAGCAAAACTGCTGTATTCTTGAATAAGAGGACAGAAAAGTAAAACTAACGTGTGCTCAGTGATAGGGTTGAATTTCAAAGATTTTAGTTTCTCCTATAATTAGTAAGAAATTAGATGCTTTCACAACATATGGTTGTACATAATATTGTAACAATATTTTATAATACTGTATTGTGACAGAACTTGCTTATAGCTGGAATTAGAATACTCAGTTACAGACAGTATTACAGTGATCAGTTAAGTCAGATTAAAATGGATGCTTTTATTTCATACAATGAGAACACTAGGCAGTTAATCTCCAAGTGTTAAAATGTGTGCAACTGAGAAATGAACAAGTATTGTTGAGAGAGCTGGTGTTGCTAGTACTGATTTTTCAGTTCTGAAGCTTTTGTAGAATTGCTGAAAAGGTCTTGTTCACAGTTGATGATAATGAACAAATTTGTCTTCCTTCCTCATCCCTGTGACTACTTGAAACTTGCATATAAGTATTTGTTTAAAAAAAAATGTGGTTGCTTTTGAATAAGCAGAAGGAATTGTACAGCTAAAATAAATACATAAATCTGTGTAGCTTCCCATGTGGAGATGTTTTAACAGATGTTGGGCTTATGTGTGTTCACATAGGTTGGTTCCTAATAATGTAATTAATCTGAAATTAAACCCATAATTACCTGACATCTGTATAATCTCTTGCACAACTGTATCATTGAAGATATATATTTAAATGTGAATTAGTATAGTTTCATTAAGTCACAAAATCTGCCACCTGCTATACTTTTATTTACATGAAGTCATGCTTTATTATTGTAGATAGGCCAAATCATGATAAGGCATGGATAAAATATTAAGAAAATAATAAGTTGTATTCAAAATGGTTTTCTCATGTACATCTGCCCCAGTCTGACTGTGAGCTGATCGCCTTGGAATACTCTGAAGTTCTGTCTATCTTACTGCCATTGTATTCTATAGGTGGGATGGTCTGCCTGTAAAACAATAATTCCTCAATATGAAACAATAATTCTTCAGTATTGAAGTGAATGAATAAAGAACACCAAAGAGCGATAGTAAATTGCTCCAAATTTAGGCTGTTGAACAGAACAGATTGCTTCTAGTAGTCTTGAAGTGGTGTTAGCCTCATGAAAACTTCATTTTTTTGAGGGCTTATAATAATGCACATAATAAGGCTGCTTTTTAAGATACAGTGATATTTATGTTAGCATCGTGTTTGAGCATATAATATTATTTCTGTGTGTATTTGTTTTCCTAGATATCCTGGTGGTTTCAAACAAGTGACAGCAACTCAGCTCCATATGAAAGATCCAACTGCTGTACGTTTTTCTCCTTCTCTCCGATTTGTACAGTTTGGTTTGTTTTCACTTAGTTAATTCCCCTGAAGGGAAGGGATGCAATTACTACAGTGTCTAAAACTAATTTAGAAATGTTCTACCAACAGCTGCCTTGGCTTGTGATAGTGTAATTGCAAGCAGTACATTTTGAAGTGAGATCGTAGCGTGTGCATTTTCTTGATTCTTCCCTGTTGTCCACATGGGCACATCAGATTCCTTCCCTTCATTCATTTTGTCTGATAGACTTACTTTTTGTTTCTGATATCTGGCTTTTATAAATTAACCAACTCGGGTGAGACTTAGCTAAGCTGTACTTCAGCTTATTAGCACTACCACTTTCTTAAAAGTTATCAGGAATAAAGGTAATTTAAAAATGTGAGGAGATAAACCTGTATCTACAGTAAATTTCAACTGTACAGTGTTTTTTTGTTTCAGATGTTCTGCCTAATCTTCTCTGTGACACACACACACACCAGTGATGTTTTATTTGTGATTTTAAAATCACAGTTTATTTCAAAATTATTTTTTACAAGACTTTCTGCAAGTACAGAATGAAAAAGCAGTCTCTACAAAGTGAATCTCCTTGGGTTTGTTTGCTTTAGCTTAGTAATTGTTTTTTATTTAAAAATGAAATGGTGAAATAAAATCCCAGCATTCAATATGGTGAAAATATTTAGTGTGGAAATTTTCARAACAATTGAAGTGCTACTGAGAGCAGGCTCCAGAAKAGTTTTAATAATAGTTTTAATTCTGTTCTGGAATTACCAGTAGTTCTATGTCTAAAATGGATTCTTCAGCTTTTTCCTTTGTGTTCCAGCTAGGAGCTCTACACTGGGAGGCAGTGTAACACAGCTTGTTTGGTAGGCCCTGAGATTTGGATGTTCTATAAATTACCTTTTGGCATTCGTTTTGAAATGCTTGTTTCCTTGCCAGACTCGTAGTTGAATTTCTGTTTCCAGAGGAGGATTAAATGCATTGCCAGTAGTTAAAACGTGTTGGACAGAAACTCAGCAAATGATGATGTGGCTGCAAACTTGGTTTAATTTAGCAAGAGAAGCATTTTTAACAAAATTCTGCAGAGCCCTCAACAGTTAACTCTTCCAATCTATTCAAGATTCAGTGTTTGGATGTCTCTCATAAAGGTCTCATAAAGTCTGACACTTACTTTGGGTCATGCTATAAATAATAGTTGTGGATGATGATTTGCCATGATGATCTTTGTTATGTATATAGCTCAGCTACGTGCACATGTGTATAGCTGTAAGGCTTTTGGCTTGGAAGTAATAGTATGACTAGAAACATTTGTTTYGTAGTTGAACAGTTATGGTGTGACATACATCGAGATGTGATAAAGATGGAAATTATAATGCTGTTTTTATCAAACCCATTTTTTTAGAGCTATTAAACTCAATGTAGGAAGAAGACTGCTGTGAAGAACGCCAATGCCTAGTCTCAGGTGCATTTGGATCCCCAAAATGTGATCTAAAGGTTACATAGTTATTGTAGACACTTCATATACCAGTTTATTCATTTATTAATTTACTGTAGACACTTCATATACCAGTTTATTCATTTATTAATTTACTGTAAATAGACCTTTTTTAATAGGTTAAATCAAAATTGTGCAAAGCCAGAGATACTTTATAGGAAGCAGAATGTAACCTTTATTCAGGAATCAAAACCTTATTTCTGTGAAGCACAGTTTTCATTCTGGAGGCTCATACTTCTTCTCCCTAATTCCTGTAATCTCCTCCTAGTTTATCTTGATAATGCTTCATTAGATCATTCAAGTTGTTTTGAAAAATAGAAACCTTACAGAAATTAAGTCATTAAATTAATGGAAGAGGCTACTTACAAAGAAAAGGATGTTGACATAAAACCAGCTGGGAACTTGTGTGGACTTCACAATAGATGTAACAGTTTCCAGTTTATATAAGTAGATTTCAATTTAAAAGATTCTGCATCTGCAGTATTACTCTAATACTGCTTAACATTCTCTGTATTTACATTCATCTAAATTCAAACACACAAATCCAAATATAAATATTCCGACTTTACAGTTTTATTTAAATGTGATTCCTAGGATACAGATCAACTTGTTTTAGGAAAAGCTGGTACCCAGCTAACATTTAAAATGGGGCGTATAATGAGTAATTGGATGCAAAGTGATACTTGGTACTGGTGTGCAAGGGAAAAAGTTACAACTGCACTGGTCAGCATTTGGGCCTGTTTACTGCAGTATAGCTGTAGTAAAAGGTCATTCTTGAAGGTCATTCTTGATCTTGGTCCTCAGAAAGTAGCAAGTACATTGATGCTGACCTGGTGATTTCACTTTATATGGATGGATTTCAACCTATACATCTCACTGTATTTTGCCATCTCATTTTCTTTGCAGATAGCCTTACTAAACACTAAATACTGTGTGCTAAATTTTGAAAGTGTGTGCATATTTTTGGCTGTTGTGTGCACATTTTTTGGTCATAGGATGGATCAGGTTGGATGGGACTTCAGGAGATGCAGAGTCCAACCTCCTGCTCAAAGCAGGATGGACTCTTAGGTCGGACAAAGGTGTTCAAGCTGTTACCCTTCCTGCCCTTGAAAACTTGCAAGAACAACTTCCCTGGGCAACTTTTCCCAATGCTCAACTTCTTTTTATTATTCTTTCCTGTTGAGAGGAAGTTAATATATTATAGATATTTAATTTTGGGTGTATAATTTTGTTTCCTGTAAGTTTTTTTTTTAAAAATATTATTTCCACTTCTAAGTATCTTTTATGCCCATATGGAACAGTGGATGCAAAAAGAGGTCTGCATAATTACGTTTTATATAGGATATATAACGATACTCTTTGTGCTCATTTTTTCAGCTCTTTGATAACTTTTGTTTTCATGGAAAAGTAGAAGCTCCAGCGCATTGCCAAAAGTTGATTTCCTGCATATTTTTTCATGTGTCTAAAATTTCTGATATTTTCAGTTCTTTGTTACTCTAGAGAAAAGCAAAGAGGATTTCTCTTCTATTGGACTTGGCCAGGCGTTTCCAAGAAGTGTTTARTGAAGAAATAAAGGCTTTTTTTCATGTTCCTGCTTTTTCTTTTCCTGACTTAAATTTAGTGGAAGTTCTTGGGCCACCCACAGACTGGGATATTAAATATGTTCTTTAGGTGCAGCGTGATAACAGCTTGTTGCTGTAAGTCTCTGCTCTTCAGGTTTATGCAGTTCTAATATTCTCTATGCTAACATTGCTCCTTTAGGTACAGCATAAATTTTCAGTGTAGGCTGCTGAGAAAAATGTATTTGGAAGGTCAGTTGTATTTTGATATTTTGTATTTTATTCTAAGAGAAGCCTTTCAAAGTACTTGATGTGGGAAGATTGTAAGATACACTTCTAACTGCTATAGCTTTGAGAAGGGGGAAAAAYGGGAATTTGGCCAATTCTAAGATGATTGACCTTTGGAATACGCAGGGTTTGTGTTGCCACTGACAAAGAAATAATGAAATAATGAACAATAACGAGTCAGAAGGACTGCTACCTCCTGAGTAAGGTTATTAAGCAAGACAGGATAGCTCCTGTGCAGAGCTGCAGGGAAGTTCTGGCACTGACCTGGAGGGACTTAAAACATTCTCGTTCTGTCTGTGAATGCTCTTTAGCAACCGCTTGCATGTGCTGACCTGCCAATAGAACAGCAGCAAAATGCCCTTTGGAGAAAAACTCAGACTGAACCCATTGTTAAATCCTGCTGTTGATGTGTGAAAGCCTCTTCTCTTTGCACCAGGGAAAGCAAAGGATGGTTGGTAGAATAATATGCACATTCTAAAGGTCTGTTAATAAAACACCACATAGAATTTGTTTTATGACTGTGGAATAGGGAATGTATTTTATTGAAGTTGAGCAAAACTTCCATGTCTGAATTAGCAGGGCACAATTAGTATGGCATAGAAGCAAGAATATTTTCAGGAATCTGATATATTAAATTTTTTTAGTGCTGAAAATCAGGCTTAGACATGGCTGCATCCATTGTTTGCTAGTGGATAAAAATAAACACTGTTTTTACAGAATAAATGTCCTGCTGCTTCGCTTTATTAGAGGCCTGGATTTGCAAGGCACTCACACTCATTCAAAGAGTGCATTATAGATTTCAGTTTTTAAGTGCTGAACAGTAGTGAAAAGCAAAATGGCACCTAGTGAAAGCYCCATTCACCTGTGACCAAGTTATTCTTATTGCAATATTAAGTTCATTTGTTTTTGCTATATTGCTCATATAACTGTGAAGGGCAGGACGGAGATGATTTAAGTATTGTAACTTTGGTGAAAGGAACTACCATGTACAGAATAGACCAAGAACTGGTAGAAAAAAAAGATAGAGCATCATGCTGTAATTCCAGATAGTTGATACATCTCCTGGAATTCTTTTTCTTTCTTTCCGTTTTTCCCCAATGTACCCAGAAGTTTTTGTCACTTTTTGTCCTTTTGTGGAGTGGCTGTGTCCTTCATATTCCAGAATTACTTCCTAGCAGTTACTGAACTTATTTCAGCCACTGGTGTAGATTGTGGTAGGCTTTCTTCTGGGGTCTTGGCCACCTTATTTTGTACTTTCCAGGTCTGGGAGTGGTATCTCCTCCTTCAAGGTGTATTTTAATTGGCAAAAATTCTTCACCAGGGCCATATAAGCATCGCCTCGGATTTGGATAGGAGCCAAATTCATAGGAGGCATCTATTTTTTTTTTATTTTGTTCATGCTTGAAAGATGTGGAGAGATGGTAGTAAAGGAGCTGAAAAGGAGTTCAGGAGTTGCCTTAAGAGTATTTTATCAAATCTTCATGCTCTCATGTCTGTTAAGGAGTTATAAATGTCACAGCACAGATCTTCCCCTGATGCAGGTGTCGTGACCTTCAGAAAAGGAAGCGAAAATTTATGAGGATATGGAATTTTACTAGTTATTGAGTTAAATGACTGGGGAGAGGAGGCAGTGGGATTCCACAAATAGTTGAATAAATTGTTAAATTATATTAAGTAGTTTTGGTCCGTGATCAAGGTTGCAGTGAGAGCTGTGAGCAGGTTCCTTTGCCAGTATGAAATTCCACTGAAATCACTTTTACACCTCTCACGTAAAATTAAACTCTTGTTATTTTAGAAGTCTAAAATAATCATCATCACACACAAAGCGTTAATAGGAATTGAAAGTGTGAAAGACACATAGGATTTTTTTTTTTTTTTAATAAAGCAACAGCGTGATCTGCTGTTTTCAAGGAACATTCCTTGAATTARGGTTAGGGTTTTCCTTGAGCTCAGTAGCAGAGGTTTTCTTGCAATTCCACAGCCTTCTTTGTAGGTTTTGCTTGTTCTTAGTAATGCACAATTGTGTTCAGGTAATGAGAGCACTTTTGTAGCTAACCTTTAAATACTGCTTGCTGATAGTGCCTTTTATGTTAGACTAGCTTACTAGATTACCAAAACCTATGAATGGCAAAACGAAGACTTTTGAGACCAAGCTCCCTGAATATTTGCTACCTTGAGAATCCAAGTAGAAATGCTTACAGGCTAAAGAAACAAATCCAGAATAGACCATACTGAACTGTGCTRCTTTCCTGTGACTTTGTTGTGGATGTACAAATTCTGTTCACTGCTAATACTTGAAAGTAGGACCAGTCATCTGGGGTTAGTACGAAGGGAATAAATCATAATTACAGACTGTGTGTTCTTGGTGCAGTGGCTTTGTGAAGCAGCTTTGCTTAAGGTGCAATACATTAATTGCATAGAAACATCAAACACAAGTTACAGTGTTAGATACAGAGACTACCTGATGACTTTGTTGCAATGTAGTATTTTCATCAATAATATGTCTATGAGCATGTAATATGGTACTAGCATCATGGAGTTGCTATAAACTTAACAGTATTTTGGCAAATTTAATGATAATATTTAATCATCCACAACACTAAAACTCTCAGCATTCTAAGCTGACATTTTTTCTATGATGCTGTTGTGAGAAAGAGTTCCCTCAGCCTGAGCAGTAAGTCTAGAGCATTTTCAACATGTGGTTCCTGGGTTCTTCAGTATGGAAGGAGTTGACTGAGAGAGAAGGTTGAGAGTCAGTCTAGTGGAATGGGCCAAAGGAAAACACTTCTTATCTTCTACCTGTTGTTTCTGGTCTTTCTTATATATTTTTGCTACTGTTCTCTCTTTCCTCAGATTGTTAAGCTGACTGTTTACAGAATGCTTCCAAAAAACCTTCTCAGGAGAACGATGATGCAGAGGTTGCACCTCTTCCCCGATGATGTGAGTCAGCAGTTACGCAGTTAACGTTTTCATTTCCTTTTCCCACTTGCTTTGGAGGTGGAGAGAGCTGTTATCACTAACATATTTTACTTGTCGTAATAAGTTGGATGAATTTWAAAAAAATCAGGCTGCATTCTATTTATGTCTGTAAACAGCTTATATGTTCTTTATTTTATCACAGCATTTTCACACTAGCCTTTTGTATTTAGGTTGAGCATTTACTGTGCATCAGTGTCAATAAAATTTAGTAGAAACCAGGCAGTGTTAGTTGTAACAGAAGATTCATGTCTAGTAAAAGCCTGAAAGCCACAGAATGAGGAGTTCACTGTAGGTTTCTGAAACCACCGTAATGAAAATCTTTGACTGTTGCAGTTTTCACAAACTTTTCTGAAAGGCAAAAAGATCAACAAATTGTGAAGCATAAGGCCTTTGTACAGGGGGGTGTTTGAGCCCCGTCTTGCTAACAAAGGAATCTATAAGACTTCCAAGTACCTTARTATCTTTGGGTGTTCTTGGAGGGAAAGGCAGCATAAAGCAATCATAGAATTGAAATTTTGTGGAAAGTGAATCAGGACAAAAAAGAGTGTTTGTTTCTAGTGCAGAGGAAGAGAAAATTGTGTTCATGTCCTTCAGGATGCACTGTGATCTCCTATGGGGAGCTTAAAGAGCTTTCCACCTTGTTTTATGAGATATTTTAGCTCACGCAGTGAACTGCATCATTATTGTCAGTGTGCTAATTGTTTTTTTTTGAGAACCGTAGGAACTGATTATTCTTTGATTCTCCCTTCTCCCCAGCTAAAAAACAAAAAGCAGATATAGTTCTGGAACAATAATGTATAATTACATTTTTATTCTTTTCAGTGTCCTTTAATATATTAATGCTGGTTCTGAGGTTCTCAGCACAAAACAAAAACTGTTTCCTTCTGATCTTTGAACAAAAAGTTAAGAACAATGGATTTCAATTATATACCTTTTATGTAACAAAAAATAAATGATTGATTGGTAAGGTAGGGTTCATTTTTATAAGCTAGATAAGGTAAKTCCTTGTAATTCTATCTTTTTTTTTTCCTGTTTCCTTTACAAAAGAACCTATTTGAGTTTCTTTTTGCTACATTTGCGGACCACTACACAATGCAATAAGTTCTTGTGGATATATTRGCCTTTTATTGTTAGAAGCAGACTTACTGTTTTCAAAGTAGGGATGAATGTGATGCAGCACCTGAAGTAAATGGCCTGGGTTTTGTTCCTCTTAAGCCTCTCTGCTGCCACCATATCAGTGGCACTGTGTGGTCCTGAATAACTTGGCAACACTTTGGGTGCCTATGTCCAGGCTTGATCTCCAGTGAGTGTGTAACAGGACTTCTTAACTATCTCCTAAAAAAGAAGAATTCGGTATAAGATCTTCAATGTCAGATTTTTCTTTTCTCCATTTTTCTGGAGGTTTATATGTGGATATGCACCATCAGTTTGAATTTATGTGTGTTTTTCTGGCTGGTAACTTTTTTCCCATTAATGTCCATCTGCTCTTCAATTCTGAGAGTCATGAATCATACATTTTGRTACATAAAGTCGTGAATAGGGATTGAAGAAAGCTTTTTAAAAATATCTTACAGGTGTTTATTATGACGACCTACTGTATTATGTGACTTCAAATACCAGTGAAATGGGTTGTGCTGAAGTTGTTAGCACCAAGTATATTAAGTAATTTAAATCATTTAATGTGAATTTGCTAGTAGTGCCTTAGGAGTGTGTGAAAAATGTGGCAGGTTTATTAACTATTAATATTAATGTTTTTCTTTAGTGTCTTTGTGCTGTGCAAATGATTTATTTTTTAAAAAATMAGATTGCTGAGATTGTGTTTCCCCCACCATAGGTTATCCCAGAAGATATAGAGAAAAATCTTTTGGAAGAGCTTCCTCAACCACGTGCAGTCCCTAAGAGGTTGGATGAGTACACACCAGAAGAAGTTGCAGCCTTTCCAAGGCTTTGGGCTCCGTAAGTATCTTAGAAAAGGGAACTCGACTGAATATGCGATGTATTGGCCTCTAACATTATGAGTAAGAGGAAAAAAAAAGTAATAATTTATCTCCTAAAGTCATGATTTTTGGAGGAAGGAAGCAAAGAGTGAGCATCTGAGAAGGGGATGGTTGCCACTTTCTTCTTACTTCTGAAAAGCTCCTGAAAGTGATGTTTTCCAATTTTTCAGGGTGTAGTGGAGTAAATACTGAGTTGCTGCCTTTGAGTTATATGTTCTCTATGTACATAATTGTTAATTATAGCCAAAGAAAGCTCCACATGTTTCTCCAAGGGAATGATTTATATAAAAAAGYCATCTTTCCATTTTCTTAGGAAGTCTGCAATTCAAACCTCAGAGAATAGATCTTTGTGAGGGAACACGCCACATGTTTATTTTGATAAGTACTTTATTTTCGATGTGCAAGTGTGATTTACTGTTCCTGTAGATTGTTAACACCTTCTACTGCACAAGCATTCTGTCTTGAATTTGATTTCTGTTGCTACGGTGGTTTTGAAAGGTGATTGAATTTCTGCTTCTCTCTGCATACTTATTTGCACAGTAATCCTAGAGAACAGTCGTGGTGTGACCCTCAGGTGGTATCTCATCCTTCTGAGCAGTCCCATTCAAACAGACATGAGTTGCTTGTGGGCAGGGGTCAGCTGCTGAAATGGTAGTACCTTATCCCCTGAGTCTGCCTCAGATACAATCTCTCGAGTGTCTTGATAGCTCAATGATCTCTTGATTCATTAAGATCCATGGGACTTAAAAGTGGAACCTGCAGAATTGAAAACTTTGTGTTTTAATATGGGTACCTAATAGGTTTAGTGTAGATTTTCATGCCTGGCTCATTTTAGAATGGCATTGGGAGAGGGATCTGCAACAAATACAAGGCTTAGGTTTCTGGCTAGGAAAGACTAGATAGTAGCAAGCCTTATACAGTAGAAAAAAATGTACAATTCAACAATGAGTAACTGTTTCAAACAACGGAAGACTTTAAGAAAGAGGGATTGGTGTTTTAAGTAGGAATGTAAAGTTTATTTGGAGGAACAAAATAGAATGCATAAAGTGAAGGGGAATTTCACAGCAAAAATATCTGAAATGGTCTGTGGGAAAATAGGCAAAGCAAATGATCTTAGTGCATGGCCATTACTGTTAGAACACCTTAAAATGCCTTTTTTCCTAATATTTAAATTATATAACTTTTTTCCCCTTCTTTTTAAGCAAATAAAACATTTTAAAATACACTTTGTATTTTCTGCATTGTACTTACCCTTCACAGGCTGCAGAGATCAGTTGACAAGAGATGGAACTTTTCCAAAGCAAAAGCTGTAATAGGATAACATAARTGGATGCTCAAGAGAGATTTGTTTGTAATTCAAAAGACAGGTGCACACACAGATCCTTTGATTTGCCAACAGCTATCATTGCCTTAGCCAGACAGATACCATTAAGAAATCCCAAAAATAAATAGTAGGGATGTCTGTATCCTTTATCCTATAGGATTTATATTTCTTTTGAGGGAAAATGGAGCCACGTTTCACTGCTTCTGTCGCATGTTTAACACAATAAATTTTTTGTGAAATCTCTTAGTGTTAGTAGGCTTTTGCTTGCAAAACCCAATAGCAGGAGAAAGAGTGRATGATGTCATAGACTTAAGAGCCCAAAGAGAACTCTATTTTTATATAATACAYACTTAGCTTGCTCGTCCTCAGATACAGCATTCATAAAGAATTGCAGTGATGCTACATATTAAAGATGAAGCACGAAACCTTTCATTTATGCAGCATTTTCCCTCTCTTTTCAGTAATTAAACTTACTGAAGCACCTGATATCATGAGGATTGACTATATTTCGTGGCTGTCAAAGATGCACTTTGATTGCAAAGATGCATTTTACTGTTGTCCTTTTGGATGGTTTACTCATCTGGCAGTCAACATTCAGATGCTGAGTAAATGTTCAAGTGGATTCCGAAAATGGGAAGTATAGGTCCATAAATGACTATTGAATATAGTTCTCCAAACGTGACTGTTGGCTCAGGAAATCCAAATTCTTGTTTCTTTTTTTCCCTATACATCTAAGTTTTGGAGACTGCCRGATGATCTGTGCAGGTGACTTGCGCTCTTCGACTTCCTTTCAGTGTGTGGAATTTAATGTGGTTTTGCTAAAGTTGAAGCATCTGGTAACTGTTGTATGGACAATACTAAAAAGGGATGTGGAGAAAAAGGAASAGATCTGCAGCAGGTTGGATGCTTTCACCCAAGGAGACAATAGTGCTATGCTGTGGCTCTTTATATATGGTGAAAGCACGTAAACATAGTTAAACAGATGAAAATATTAATAAACTTTATATAAAAGCCCGGAATCACAGGTCCTCAATAGGATTAGGTTTATTTGTTTGTATGTTTTTTCCTGTGTTATTCTCTGCTGGAGAACATATGTGGGAATATATGGTACTGAAATGAGGAGCCTTCTTTTCTCTGCGTGTGAGCTGCATTTGGGATGCCAGTGGGCTGTACATYTACTCTTGTTTGCATTTTGTACCGTGAGTTTCTGCTGGGCCCATAGATGGTTTCCATGCAGAGCAGTCCATACAGTAAAATGAAAATACATTTCATTTTCATTGATACAGAAGATTATCAATTCACTTTTTCTTCATGTGATTTTTGTAAGTCCTTCTGACATCCACAATTTTTGCCTCTCCTCCACTAAGTCTTGAGCCTGTTGGCTGCTCTGCTTGGCAAGAGGAGAGGTTCAAGAAGGAATTCAATCCCTGTTAATGATAAGTATAAGATGCCAATTTGAGAAAGAAACTCAAGGGCCCGTAACTTGTTTTTTCCTAACGAAAGAAGATTAATTAATATTAGGTCTTTAAAAAGAGCTAKATCTTTTTATGGAAAGGATCAAATGAAAAGCATAGCTTGATTAACAGTATGAAAGTACWTAAAATACAGGGAAATGCAATTGCTATGATAAAATTAATGTTTAAGGTTTTATGCTAAAGCCTTATACCTTAGGGTATAAGGGACTTAGTCACAGTAGAAGAATTAGAAAGTAATTGTCTGAATATGAAGTCACTGAAAGATGGATATAAGGGTATGAATATAAATTGTAATATAATGCATGGAAAGAAGTTATTGGTTTGGGGAGGAAAAGAGCTTTTTTCTCTCAAAATGAAGTAACATACAAGAAACTTCCTTCTGACAGTAAAAATAATATGTTGAGCATTGCTGGTGAGCTCAGGGACTGTCACCTACACTTGCCACTGAAGGTGCTCTGCCTTTCAAAGGCTATTTTGCTGGTTATAGGAGACTGACACACTATAGGCAAGTATCAATATCAAAGATGACCACTAAAATGGAGAGCTTTTTTTAAAAAAAAAAAAATAAAAACAGAGGTCCAATATGAAAACCTATCTAGTAGCTTGTGTTTTTTGSAACAGCCACCCACGTCTAGCTGGATCCTGCTCCATGGAAACAGGGAATTCAATGTCAGGGTGTYTCCCATTTGAGCCGTTTCCTTTTCCCCCTTAGCTGAAGCACTTGACTCCACCGCTTATGGATCCATGATAGAGCGGGCTGAAACCTCTGCAGCGGGGAAATGCCCAGGACTGGGGAAGTTAAGTTACATTGCATCTTTCCAGAGGGGAATCAAAAACTTGCTCCTTTGGCTCAGTTTGATTCGTGCCGTCTCGCCGTGAATGAATCTGTCATTTTAAGGTTTTCAGGGTTTAAAACAAAGTGCTTTTAGTGAGCTCTTTAAATAGAAGCCATCACTGCATTCTCCAGGCAGATGTGACTAAAAGGACAGTCCTGTTTTGTACCTGTCTGCTAAAAGCAGGGATACATCAGATTTGCATCARGGCAAAATTTCCCATTATGTACAATCTGCAAGTTGTCCCTCTGACTGTTTTTACAGAGTGAGCTTTTAAAGACAGGAAATTATTCTTGAAGGTGTAGTTTAAAATTACCCAAATCAGAGTGTTACTAAATATATAGAAAGAAAGCCCTCTGTTGTTCCAGTTAGACAGCTACTTTCCTGCAAGTTTCCCATAAGGAAGTCAAAGAGGAGTCTGATTTCTTGGTGTGCCCGTTGCTGATGTGAAGCTGCAGCTCCCGTCCTGCTGCCAGGCCAGGCAGGACTCGCTGTGGCCTCCACGGAGGGCAGACACTCTCCTGCTTGTCTTCCCAGGGAAAAATAAACGATGAAACGCTTTATTTTTAAAACTATGTATAGTTAAGTCTGATATTTGATGTAAGTAAACCAAACACCTTTTTTTAATGGKTTTTTTTTTTTTTCAGGGATTTTTCTAGCCCCCATCTCCACATCTTGCTTGGAGGGGGTCTGGTCTGAAGCAGAATTTGGTTTCAGCTGAACAGAGTCTCAGTTATGGTGTGCAGAGTCTCAGCTGTGACACAGACTGTCCCCCATATGCTGAGCAACAGGGCGCTTCAGTTCCCTGTTCYGAGCAGTTTTATTATATGAAGTTCTTGATTTGCTGATTTCCTCTGAAAAAATGACAGAAAGCCAACACAAAAGGACCCATACAGATAACACAGAGTTCATTCTGCAGTGAGAGCATGAGATGAAACGGACAAAATCATGAGCACTGTTACTCTCCATCTAGCTGAAGAATCAGAGCAACTGAAAAGATCTCAGCCAGAGCTGCTGGGATCTTGAGCTACTTTTTAAGGACCATCTCAAGTTTATTTATGAGTGTTTAAAAAATCTGYACTTCACTAAACATACTCCTGCGTTCATTTCCTTAGCTCCTCTGTAGCTGCAGGGTATGTCATTTTGGGGAGGTTTTTATTTTTTGAGCTGTGTTTGTAGAGCACCTCACGCAGTAGTGTTTGGCTCTCAGCTTGGGCCTGGAGGTATTTCTGTAATAGGAATAAATAGAGCATCTCTAGCTTGTGTGCTCTTCTCTCCCTCAAAGCAGGGCTGCTGTGTGCCAATATGCAGGGAAGAGGTGGCCAACACAAACTCTGTTTGAAAGACAGYCTTACTTTTTCCTAAAAACGGAAACCAGAGAGACAGAGAAGAGGCTGTGCTGCCAATATATTTGTTCCAGCGTACTCTGTGAGGAATCTCTCTAGAAGTTCATTTTCCCTCACTGCTTTGATTCTCCATAGAAATTCCAGTAACTAACTGGAAATCATTAACCCCCGTTATAATCTGGGAACTGTCACYGGTAAATTTTTTATGGTATGGACATAAAAATATGCCATGATTTCGTGCAGAATTTAGTTTAACAGAATTCCAAAACTGAGTCTCATATTTGGGCTGCCAGAGCTGGATCTAAATTCCCATGGATAAAAACTGCACAGTTAAGTACTTAAGAACGCTGTTCTGCTCTGCAACATTAGGCTTTAACCACAGACAGCAACCGGATATGAAATTAGATATGAAACTAGACGAGTCTGTRGCTTAATCATGTTAAAAATGTGACAGATCTATGCTTAAATCATTAGCCTATTAAAATGAATTATTGCCTCTTCTCTAGCATGTGTAAAACACAGCAGTGCAAATGATTCTCATATTCTTTACTGGGGATAGCTTAAATTGTAGCTAAAAGTATTTCAGAAGGCAAGAGATTTCATAAATGGGTAATTGGACACTGTGACTTYAGTTGGCTGAAGAGGCTCTGAAAAGTAAAGCTCTAAAGCCACTTCCTGCCCCAAAGGTTGTTAATCTCCTATGTGAGAAAACACCAGCTACGACTAATGGGATCTGGACAAGCACTGTGTCTTTGTGTGTGATACTATTTAACTACTTGCTCAGATTAAAATAGAATTAGATTTTTTTTTGATAAACCTTCTATAATATCTAGTTATATTTTCTTTTTTTGATTTTTGGTGGTGATGGTGATTCATCTGGATGAGCRGAATGATTGTTTAATCATTCCTCTACAAGCTTCCCTATCCACTTGAATGTTGTAATTCATTGGATAAAACCAAGGGAAGAGAGCTATCCTTTTTATGGCCCTACATTTTTTAGTAGAATATAGTGATTTTTTGAAATGCCATCTAAAGGAAACTCTTCCGTCTGCAAAAAAAGCATAATCTTACAAAGATCTTGTTTACATATACATTGCATTGATTTAACTTAAATAAGATTATAAATGAAATTCATGTAATCCAGGTCAAAAATGTGGGCTTGGCACTAATTTTTAATTGGCACTCATTGAGGCTGCAACTAGATTATCTTAAGTTGTAGTGAAGCATTCTTGAACCTCACTGAAATACCTACATATATTTTTGCATTGTTTTAGATAAATCGATTTATGGCTTTTTTGAATTGTTATTAAAACAGGTTAAACTTTTTACATAGAAAAAGCCTGAGCTGTAATTCAGGGCCACAAAAGGTTTCTCTTTAACTTCGTGTATCCAAGAGAAGGTTCATCACGGTTGATGTACTRCCATAGCAGAGCCATCTTATTTCTGTTACTGTGCTTTATACCAGTTCTCCATGCAAAGTAAGCTATACTTAAATAAATACATGTTGGCCAAGGTAACTCTTTGCCTGAGTGCTATACAGCTATGAAAGAGGCTCTTTTGTGTCCAAAAAGAGCAAAAAAGTTCACAGTTCAGAAAGGCCAAGCTGGTGGCTATTGGAAGTTTAATGATAATTTAACTATCATTAGCTGTTTTCGCTGATTATGTTGCCAGAGGCCTAGAATTCCTCTGGGATTTTAGCAATATCTTGAGTAGAAAACCAATTCATGTCCTCCCAGCCTCAAATTCAGTTTATATTTGAGTGTAACCACCTATTTTGGTCTTATGGAGCAATGGTCTTATGGTAGCAATGTCTRATCTCTGGTTTTTGATTTACTAGTGTGGGTAGTCAAACGCCTGAAATGTGTTCAGAAATCCCCTTCAGCACTTACCTAATAACTGTTGCCTTTGGCTCAGCTTACAAATATACCTAAAAATAATATGTTTTCCTTTCATTTTGGAGTTGTCAGTACATTTTGATTCGGTGTAAAAGTCTGTCTTGTAAAATTGTCTATACAAATGAATCTTAGGAAATTTTAAATTCTATATTTATATTCTCAATTTAATCACTTTAAAAAAAGGCCAAAATAGAGCACAGCTTCAATCTTGCATGTATTGTGGAGCAGTTTTATCCAAAACCAGATTAACTGGAACCTTGTAATACTGCAGAAGGCTAGAGAGCGTGTGTGCCGTGTTGTAGGTTATTACGTGGGCATGAAAGACAGGCTGTGGTGATCCTTGGTCTGTGCAGTTGACTGTCATCAGTTAGCAATAAGRCGACATTCCTGGGATTCTGATTTTCTTAAATGGGAAGAGGTCCATTACAGTAATGCGGATCTAACGTTCAACTGTCTCACGGTAATTGGATCACAGAGCCACTGAAGACGAGATGTTCAGTGGCAGGATCTGTCCACAGGGTATTTTCACTAATTGGTCTTCATCTGTCATCTTCTGTCAGAAACCAGGTTGTTTACAAGCCCACTTATAAGACACATCTGTGAGCCAATGGATAGCACTGCTTAATTACTTAATTATTAAAAAAATTACAAGTACTTCAAGACTAATTTAACTACATTGCTTTGGTTGAAAATTTTGAAAGGAACAAACAAGGAATTTTAGCCCTGTTGTAATTTAAAGCTTTTGAAATCATTATAGGAAGATGGCACAGGGCTTCTGTAAAAGCTTCTGCATCCACACAGTTGTCCTGAGGATACCTCGCATGGGCATTCAGGGAACGCTGCCCTTTCCTGCAGGAAGGAGATGCATTAAAAAAAGACCTAACAGGAGTCAGAGGAAAAACAGAACCCTCTCATAGCAGCCAATACAGACCTAAAATCTTCTGGCATAAGTTAATCTTAAAACATTTTGATAGCTGTTAGTTATAAGACTGATAGTTTATTTTTCCTAGATAACCCGTAAAAATGAGACTCCTACCAGACATGGAATGTTTCAAGTTATGGATGATGTGGCACATCTCACAAGAAGAATGGAAAAGAGATAGGTGCCCGTGTAATACAGGATGATTAACTTTTATGGGGTTTTGAATACATCTGGATTTTTTTTTCATCTTTGTGCCAGTCTACCTATGTGCAGTATTAATTAGTTAGCTTTAAGGCACTGACCTTTCACAGGGATGGTGCCCARCTAAATCCCTTTGGAATGGCCTTCTTGCTGGTAGGGTTGCAGAGAGCACAGGGACCCCTGTCTTTCCAGGTCACCTTCTTCAGCATTGAGATTAATTCCCTGCAGGTGAGGAGMAAAATGCCCTGTGAGATCTTCAGAGCTTTCAAAGCAGGTGTGCCTTGCTCAGTCAGGAGCAGGCTGCCTCTCCACAGGTTACTTCCTCTGCAAAATTGACAATCTCTATTCTAATCTAGATAGTTTTGAAGAAATACTACAAATTAGTAAAATGAAGAGAAAATGTTTCAAAAAAATTATTCACTGAGTATATAAAACAGTTATTTCACAGTTGTTTATAGCATTTCAGTCTTCAAATAATGACTTTTTACACTGGAGCCTTTTTTTTTGAGATAACAAATGTTGCTTTTCAACAGTTTGTTGTACTGTCTTAAACTGTCCCTCAGATCGAAATGAAGCTGTGAAGTTGCTTATATATTTTGAAATTGAGAAGTTTTGCTATGGCATATACTAATGAGTACTTAGATCTGATCTTCACAGACAGAATAACATCCCCCTTTGGTTTTGTTTTTGTTTTCTTTCCCCCTGGGAAGATATTTTGCTCCACAAAACACTGCTAGGCAAAAGGAAACGTCTTTGCTGGAATGTGCTGACAAGAGTTTAATAAAGATGGAGCTGTGTGGCAAGTCTGCTCAGACTTGATGGAAATAAATATTCTCTCCAGGAGTTGAAAGTTGAATACATACAACATTTGGAACAGGCCTTTCCTGTGCACTTTGGCAGGAAAAAAATGCTTTACAAGGACCACATTGCACAGCGTATTGAAGAATAATATTGCTGAGGGTGGTTCTCATCATAGCTGTAACTAATCGATCTGTATGGGTTTTTACTTTGCAATTGCAATCTGAGATATTCAGCGACTGAGGTCATAGCTTGATGAGCATTTCTTCTGACAAAAAGGCATCTTCCATCACTTTTCCTGCATTTCTCTATTTGTATAGCAGCAGAGAAAGGGGAATCAGAGAACCAACCCATATTAGACAACCCTATTTATTTTCAATGCAACTGCAGAAACTGGGGTGCTCTGGGGTTGATGGGAGTTTGCAAGGAACCTGCCTATGTGATTCTCCTGAGGTGTGGAGTCGCCAAACGTCAGTCTTACCCAGCAGGTTTAAGCTCACTTCAAAATAAATGACATGAATCTTCATTTATGGCTCTCCAGGGAAGCCCTGTCTCTCTTGTGTGGCTTTGGAGATGGCTTGCAGACACTTACAGGTTGCCATCATGGATGATTTCTTCTGTGGCCATCCAAATTTCACGCACTGCTACGTGTTTTAAATTGCCTCGTTGTATTACAACAGGCTGAAAACAGTATGTTTTAAAATAGATGGTGTCTGAAGGATCTGCAAAGAAGTTGATGCTGTCAGATTCTTTGTGTGCCCAAGAACATAGGGATGTCATCTGCATGAAATGGCAGTTTGCTCTGGAGGACCTTAATTCTCTAGAGTCTTGGAAAAAAGAAAGTGCCAACAGATTCAGTGAGAGCCACTAAGAGTGTTTTCTTTTCCATAGCCAAGCCTCATTCCATGAACTGTGCATGTTCTACCTGTTTGATAAGGTTCAGTGGGAATTCACTGTGGGTTGTCAGAATTTTACATCAACCATTTTCCTCCCTTATCAGCTCCGAGTGGGGAGAAATATTGGCGGAATGTGAGAGATTCAAAGTTTGTCATGAGAATGTGCTGCTTGGGCCAGCTCTCCAGTTACTTCTACCACTTGCAAAGTATTTTTTGAGAGAGACAAGCACAGCAATGAATGGCATAATTGGAAGTTAAACAGCTAATTAATTTGCTAACTATTTTTCCTACCATTTACTGGAATTCCTCTTAAAACACTTTTTATGTGCAGTGTAAAATGTCAGTGGGACAAACATTTTAACATACTTTGGTAGCAAATCATAACATTCTGTACATATTTTGGTAGCATCAGCTCTGTGCATCAATTTGATGCACAGTGGGATGTAGCATATTTTTTTGTGAACCATTCTACTTTTCAGCAATGATTTCAGAGACGCTGGTTCCCTCATTCTGCCTTCTCTATCCGCTCCTTCTCAAATCTGCTGTTAATATGTGATAAAAAAAAAAAAATCAAGAATGTTACTAAAAAATAAGTGGCGAAGCTGTGTGAGGCCTTTCTGAACCAGGAGATACCGTTTTCTTTGTTCCAAATGCATATTAGTTCGAGTGCTTTGCTGCGGAGGTGTGAAAGCGCAGCCAGGAGCCCCGCTCGGCCTCGGCTCTGTGGTTTATCAATGAGCAGGTCTCCGCTGGAGCTCCCAAGTTCGTAATTCTCCCAGAATAGACAAGGTTTTTGTAGGTTCATATTCTTCCTCTGACAAAATATTTATTGCCAAAGGCAATATTTTTCAAGGCTTGGCTTTCCTAGTGCTAAGGAAACTTTAAAAGCAGAGATTGTGGCCTCCAAAAGCCAAGTACCAGTAGGCATAAAAGCCTACTGTGACATGAGAAAAGGCTTTAAAAACTTTTATATTTGTTCACACAAGCATTTTGCCATTGAAAATTCTGCTTTTAAGCTTCATTAACTTCGTAAGACTGCAAACTGAGGGTCCACTGTCTGCATTTACATTTAAGACAACAAACACTAAGGTTGAAATGCAGATTGGATGCAGCAAGAAATACATTAATTGGATTTTCAGCCCCACAGTAAAGTACTGTGAGACCATCAGCTCTGCAGTGCTCTAAGCCTGGACTGA